TCTTACTTCAGTTCAGTGACGGACATTTTTTTTTAATTGGCTGGAATTTTTTACGTGAAAATGTTTCTCTCCTTATTTGAAACAACCGGAGTAGATGGAAAAGAAAGCTGACATTGCAGGTTTCAGAATTGATGAAGCCTGTGCCAGTTACAGCCGCTCTACCCTTCCTGCGCTATGGGCCCAGGAGTTCTGCTCGTTTTTAGACTGTGCAGCACAGGGGCGTTACAGGGACAAAGAAACCTGGCCTGCTGGTAGCCAAGGAGCTAGAGCCATCTGTAAAATGAAGAGCTGCAAATGCCAGGCATTTAAAAATCGGGAGTTAAATTATTACTCTAGATCCTTACTCTTCCCTTGCATTTACATGGAAGAAATTGTAAATGCTACTATCTTGGACTGTATCTACTTGCCACTCACTTCTGGGCTCTTTGGCTTTCAAAATTATCTCAACATCACAAGGGCTTCCTTCTTCTAAAATGAAGGCTGAGGTTTGCAAATAAATCACATGACATCCTGACAAAAATAATTACTGTGGGGTAGGTAACAAACCATTAGATCATGGTTACAATTTGACTTTCCAGCATAAGGTGCTAGAGGAATCTTCACTCAAATGAATGGTAGCACCAATGACAGCATAAACAATTTTTTTACTATTTGCTCAGGTGCTCTAGAGAGTTGGTTAGACATCTACTTCTTCAGAGAAGATCAGTGTTCTTAAATAGCCTTCTTAGAATAAATGCAGATTGGTATCTAAGTTGTTGAGGTTTGGCTTGGGAGATATATGCACCCTGGAAGATAAAGAATAGGCAGGATGGACCGTTCAGCCCTTAACCTTCCTTGTGAGATGCTGAGAAGTGAGAAGACACGAGTGTCAGTAGTGGTTTTGTGATGCTGACCTCCTCTGGAAACTTTGATTCATTTTAAAGAGGAACCAAGCAGTTGTCAGATGTTGCCGTCTTGCAGTCTTTAGCAACCAAACCTAGAAGTCAAATTCTCTGGTCTAAGTTTGCTCAAAGTCACTTCCTTTCACATTTTTAAGGACTGCTAGAGTGAGTTATACCGAAGTCATTGGCCTAGGGATCTGGTCTATCTCATGGGTGGACATCTTCCAGCTTACCATTATTTGTTCTTTTCCTGTTTTCCTGCTGGAGGGAGAAGACAGAAGGGTTCAGGGAAGCAGATCTGTTGGGTCTAAAGTGATTGCCACCTCGTGGCCCCATGCCTGTGGGCACAGGCGGCTCGCTGGCACCACGGCAGAGTGCCAGTTCGTGCAGGTTCTCTGTGTTTCTGGCTGTCTGTGCGTGGAGCAGTGGGTCATGGAGCGGGTCCTGGGCTGAAGCCCTGCAAGGTAGCTCAGGGTGGACTTCACAGAGTCAGCTTGCACTCCTGGGAGCTTTGCTAGGAGACATGTTACCCGACTTCAGCTTTGGACTGGGGCTGGCTGTGAGTGAGCCCCTATTCCGTGCCAGGTCAGAGAAATCCCACGTCACATCACTTACCACCTGGTTGGCACCACTTTGTCTCTTTTTGAAGCACAGCCAAGCAGAGAGACTGGGGTGAAGGCTGTGCGGAGCCCTCAAAAAGAGTGATGTGTACTTAAATGATTTTTCTTCTTCATTTTACCTAAGAACGCAAGAAATCAATGCTCAGAAGTTACCTGATTGAGAACTGTAGCATTGTAGACCAGATTTCTTGATGCATGTGGAAGAGAAGCATGTATCCTTTCATACGATAAGATGTATTCGACTGTTGCTTATCACCATGGACAAATATATTGCACTTTCTTGCTGAAACAAGCTGACTCAGTTTCCCTGCTTTTATGTAATTAATGACGTTTTTGCTGTCTGCTGTGGTGTGATTTTCAAAGATGTGTGAAATGGCAAAACAGACTGATAGAATGACAAGTGGCAACAGTTCGTCCTTCCTTAGAGAGTCTTGTCCAAAAGTGGACAGGCTTAGGCCCTAACCCCAGGCTGGCAGAAGGGGGTCAGATGCCAGAGAATCCCCCTGCAGCACCTGCAGTCAGAGCATGCCTTTGCATGAGACTGTCAGCATTGAGAAGGGAGGTTTTCCTTGCATGTTGCCCTCAGCTCTGCCTGTCGCTGCTTTACAGAATGGCTCAAAGGGAAAGTGCCTTTTTTCCCCTCTCCTTTTGAGAAGGGAGCAGAGGGAAGAAACAGAAAACTATGGTGTTTTGATCCACCTATTTCTTATTCTAGTTGCATAAACACAGCAGAGTATTTCTCTAAATTAAATTAAGCAAACCTTTCATGTTCTCTCCTTGCTTCAAGAAAGCTAATGTGGCTGCTCGCAGATTTGCAGCTACGGAGAAGACAAAGATCTGTAGTGTGCACAGACTCAAGTGCTGAGCAGTGTCGTGCTGAAAGAACCTGCGTGAGCTTTAATAGAGTATAAAAGCTTTCTGGGCACCAAGCAAAAATCTGTTTAAATCCCTGACAGGGATGAGAGCACAGCATGTATTATCAGCATATGCACAGAGACGGGAAGGCTCTCAAAACATTTGCATTTTGGATTTGCTGTAATTAAAAGGTTTCAACCTTTCCAAGAAGGTTGAAATGGTGGAAGAATTCACCTTTTCCCTGTCTCCACACAAATATTTAGGGCTCTTCCCTTTTCTCTGCATGTGTGCCTGACTTACACTGATCCTAATGACGATTTTTCTTGAATGTAAAGGATGTGAAAACCCATAGGCTTCTCCTTCATACGTACAATCATCATTTGGTACTCAGATTGTGACAGTCCCAAGTGTTCCCTGCCCCACACAGTGAAGGACTGACCCCCAGTGTGCACGGCACTGAACACAGAGCAAAAAGGTCGTCCCCATGCTGCAATTCCTAATGAAAGCAGACCCTTTTCCTCACAAGCACATGTATAGGGCTGCGTATCTTGAGAGATTAGTGCCTGCACAGACCCCAGATAAAATGCGACAGGCGCCTGTGAGGCAGAATGATGCAAGCTGAACTGGAGCAGAAAATTATGCTCGTGGATCAGTGGTGAACAGGTCAGATGATGACGTAGTACGTATGGGTTCTTTGGGGGGGAAATGACTGTTTCAGGAAGATTTGACTATGGGCAAGTTTTGTCTAAGATTTCCCTTATTTTGATAAATAATTTGCCAGACTAAAATCTCTCTGCAAAGAGTCTGTGTAACTCAAGGAGGACTATTACATTAGTGATCTGTATCAAGTGGCATAGCTGGAGCTACCAGTTAGAGGAATATAGGGCAGGTAGATGAATGCTTTCTCCAGTATCAAACAGATGCAGAAAAAAATTATTCAGGAGCAGGAAAAGAAGTGCTATAAGGTTGAAAATGTCAACTCAGTCACAAGGAGCAGTCTGTACAAAGATGAGAGAGAAAAGTGAGAAGGAAAGACCATAGCCGCTGAATAGAGGATTCCTGCCTAATATAAGAGGAAAGTGAGTACATCTCTACTTATCTGATTAAGTAGAAGGTAAATAGGAGCAAGTTAAAGGGAGATCTTTCCCTTCTTGGTTGTTAACTAGATGTGACTGCCACTTCAGTGGTGACAGCCCTCCCTCCAGTTTCAGCTACTCAAATAGCAGCAGACAAAGACTGGGAATAGGCAGTGTGGATAAGCTAGTTATTGAATGTTTGGACTGTGACCCCCTTCTTCTTCCAGTCAAGCTGTTAAATATTCATGTAAGTGGGCTCAGACGGATCCCTGCCAGCTGTCTGTATTTATAGGACTTCATCCAAACAGCTCCAAAACATGTAAAATTTTATCCTCACAACAGCTCTTTAAAGAAAAAGGGATTTCTCACCTATCTGAAGGGAAGAAGAATCAAAACACAAAGCAATTTAGCGAATAACCTGATTTATTCATCTGGACTCAGCAGACAGGATCCAAATGCAGCTCTTTTAAGTGCCAGGCCCAGCTATAGCCCAAGGCTTTTAAGGCAAAGATCATATTTAGCACTATGAGGTGTTGTATAGCTCACCTAATATTGCTCATTAAGCATAAAAAAAATCTTTGTATGCAACTCAAAAGGAAACTGGAGACTCTGTCACTGTATGTGTGTATGGGTACAGAATGAAAGTATTTGACGAGGAGAAATCAATAATAGAACCATTATTTAGGCATCTCAGCCTGCACTGCATTCAGTTGCACACCTTGATGGCCAGATAAAACAGGACCATTATGTAAGCTTCAGTAAACAGTGTGCCCATATGGGCAATTTGTGAGGGAACAGATTGTCACAGCTACGTTTGACCTGTTTTAGAGCAGTCCTGGCTCTCCCTTGGCACCGTGGATGCGCTGTTGACATTTCAGCAGAGCTGCTTCGAAAAAAATGAGTGCCATTGTCAGAATAGCGTGGCATTTTATGAGTGAGAATCAATTTCTACATTTTGAGTCAAGCAACAAGCCCAGTACTTCTCCGTCTCTCCAGTCAGAGCCTCTTGAACAGTCTGAACGGGAAAGATGAAGGGACAACACCATTAAGAACACAAACCCAGACTTTTCAGTGTACCTACATTGAGTTACTGTGTACATGCGGTCATGTTACTCATATGCTTCAGGGGTTTGAATCTGAAGCTCAGGTTCAGCTCTCAGAAGCCCACACACTGGCAGGTTATCACAGAAGAGATGTGAGATAGCTGAGTGGGGGTGGTTGGTTTCATACCTGCTCCCAGAAGGTGGCAAATGTGGGGTAGCAGTCCACCTTACATTAGCTTACTTTGTTACCTGTCTACGCCCTCACCTTCGTGCTATTTTTAGGCATGAGTGCATTCTGAAAATAAAAAAGGATATATTTTCATTGTGGTGCTCAAGAAACTCGTACATGCGTTTGGGGAACAGGTCAGAGGGGATCTTTGTGCCTTTACCACCATATTGTAATGTTTTCTTCTTCCGAGGATCTTTCTCCTTGGCTTAGTGTTTAAGAATAAGCTCGAGGCTTTCAGCTTATTCAATCGATATATTTTTATTGGTGATTTTTTTTTAAACTGTTTTTCAGGCATTGGAAAAAATGTCATCTGTGACCGAACAGCAACTCCCCTGGATGCCTTTAGGATGATGACCGCGGCTCATTATTACCCAAAGCTCATGAGCATCATGGGGAACGTCTTGCGCTTCCTGCCCGCTTTCGTGAAGATGAAGCAGCTGATCCAGGAGGGTTACGTAGGGGAGCTGCTGGTGTGCGAGGTGCAGGTTCACAGCGGAAGCCTGCTAGGCAAAAAGTACAACTGGAGCTGTGATGACCTGATGGGAGGTGGGGGCTTGCACTCGGTTGGCACCTACATCATTGACCTCCTGACCTTCCTCACGAGCCAGAAGGCTGTGAAAGTGCACGGGTTGCTCAAGACCTTCGTGAAGCAGACAGACCACATCAAGGGGATACGGCAGATCACCAGCGATGACTTCTGTACGTTTCAGATGGTCCTGGAAGGTGGTGTGTGCTGCACGGTGACACTCAACTTCAACGTCCCGGGAGAGTTCAAACAAGACATTATTGTGGTGGGTTCGGCAGGACGGCTGATTGTAATAGGCACTGATCTCTACGGACAGAGCAACAGCTCTTCTCAGCGGGAGCTCCTGCTAAAGGACTCCACGCCAGTCAGCAACTCCTTACTTCCAGAGAAGGCCTTCAGTGACATCCCATCTCCCTACCTCCGGGGCACCATTAAGATGGTTCAAGCAGTCCGGCAGGCATTTGAGGACCAGGATGACAGGAGGACCTGGGACGGGAGGCCCCTTACGATGGCTGCCACTTTTGACGACTGTCTGTATGCCCTGTGTGTGGTGGACACCATTAAAAAGTCAAACCAGCTGGGGGAGTGGCAGAACATTTCAATCATGACTGAGGAGCCAGAACTGAGCCCAGCATACTTAATCAGCGAAGCCATGCGGAAGAGCAGGATGTCTCTGTACTGTTAGCTCCTCTCAGCTCATAGGAAAGAATAGGAACCAGACAGCTCTTGAAGGAAATGGTAATTCAGCCCCTGTGAAGGGCTTGGGCATCTTAGAAACAGCTGAGGATACAGGAGATGGTGTTTGGATCAACTAAATCCGTGGGTGGCTAAATGCCAAAGTGATAAGGTCCTTAGAAACGCCCAAAACAGATAGGAGACTTAAGAGCTGACATAACTGTTTTAATAACAGTATTAGCTGGCTGATTGGAAAGATGTATCATGGACTCATCTCCTGCTTGCAGGTGCTTTAGATTATCCACTTGTGTTTACTGTGAAAGGTTGGGAAGATCCTTTTAGATTTTCCTTACCTACCAGAGGGCTGTGAAGGTACTGTCATGTCATCAAATTTTCTGTAGTGTCTGACATGAATGGTTCCTACCATGACAGCTGACACCATCGTGCTGTAGTACTACACCTCTAACCAACACACAGAATAATAGGACTTGTTATGAAAGTGGCACATGATATGGAAAATCTCGGCAGCTCACTTTTCATATAGCTTGTTAGGAGTTTCTCTGTGTTGGTTTAGCTAGTTGTTTTTTGTTTTGTTTTGTTTTTTTTAAAGCACAATTAAGTAGGAAAATGTGTGGCTTTTAAAACAAAGCAGTCCTCAACCACAGTGCATATGCCCTGATATTGGGGGAGGGAGGGTCTTCTGTGAGCTCCCAGTAAGCTTCAGTGTTAACTGCACAGATTTGCTGATTAAAATGGGTCGTGCAAAACCTTCATGGATGGCAGGTGGCATGACACAGTAGTGATTGTGGGGTTTATTATACAGCTGAACTCAGGCTAGTATTATGAAGGTTTACACACCATTTCCTGTGTCTGGGACTGACTTTTGAGTGAATTCATTGTGCATTTTGGTTTTAGGTGGAAAATGGTAGAAATCCGACCCAAAACTGTATAATGCTTAGATGGGTGGTGTTCTTTTAAACCTTTGTGAACTCACACTTGAGATGCACACCAACAGTTAATTTCATATAGCTCAACCCAGAAGCTTTCACCTCCTTTCACCTCCACCAAGTGGTGAGTGTGAGTGAAAAACAAAAGGGATGAGGAAATTTCCCATCCATTTCCAGGGAAAACAATTACATAAGACCCCCACCTCTTCACCTCCTTAAAGTGGCCAGCTACTGGTACTGTAGTAATCTTTCCCTGTCATCAGTGCAGGGATGGACAAACTTTTTTGATATGTTTGTCCTGTTCTTCTTTTTAATATTTTAGATTGCAGTCTTGAAATGATATATTCTTTTGAGAATATATTCTTGAAAGAATATAGTGAAAGACATATGAATTATCCCAGTAAACAGGGATACTGCTTTTCTGCATAAAGCTGCTCCAGTGCTTATGTGTTTACAGTGCTAGGTCCTCAGGCAGGGAAAAAGTAGAACACAAGCATATAGGACTAAATTATATCAAACTTGAGAAAAACCTTTTCAGGGTTTTTTGTTAATTTTGACTAGGGGAAAGAAGAGAACATTTAGATAAGCAGTAAATTAAAAGAGAGAATATGACCCTCTTTCTCAAGGGCATCATATTAGTGTGCCGTTTTAGGTTAGAAAGAGAACTGTCAGAATAATTTAGATTTTTTAAAAAGCACTTACAGTTTTGCTATTTTTAGGACCACTAAGGGCTTCTCTAGGGCTTCTCCTACAAATGACTCCATCTGATTGCTGTATGCTCCTGCCTGTCCTTTGCCCAGTTTCAGAGCTTCATGTTTTTGAACACGAGATCAATAGTGTCGTTCACCTCATCTGACTTTAGCCAGCTGAAAGTTGGGTGTCTTGTCCTGATCAGCTGTGCAAGGACACAGTAGTCAATACAGAGAGAACTCTCCAAAGGCTGACTCGGTTCATTCTGAGATTGATACAGAAGGAGGTGCCCATTGGAAACTCCTGTCCTCCTCCTTTGCAGAGAATCTTGGCTTCTAAATTTTTAGGTGGCTGAAGTTAGGAAACTTGACTCCCACCCCAAAATTATTAATGCGTGCTTAATTTTTGAAGAGCATATGTGTGACTTTTCATGAAATATTCCCCAAAGTGTAATAGTGTGACTGATGAAGGAATAATGTAATACTGCAAAACCACACCCAAACAGAGAATTGTTTCTGTCCATGTTGTTCTGCTAGTTCTAGCAACTGTCTCTGGGGCTGACCACTGCTGCCAAGACCTTGGACAAGCTTTCACCGTTCCTTCTTGGAAGCAGCCCTTGACAAGCTTGGATGTTTTTCCTAAAAATGAATTTCTCTGAGAATTCCTGAGGTAGTATCTGTGCCAATAGGAATTTCCCATTATAATTGTCATGGTATACCATGCTACCCAGTTCCTGCCCTGAAAAACACACAGAGAAATGCAGAAGAGAGAATTTGATCAAGAAATCATATATCTCTCTCCCCTGAAAAATGGGATTAGGCCCAAGGAAATCAAGAGGGTTTTCCTATAGTAAGGCAAAAGCCATTTATTGAAAATAGTGGCTAGTTCCAAGTCATGAATGCAAGCCCAGTGGATAATTAACCATGTCTGGTTAAACATCATCCAAAACTGGAACTAAACATGGACCAAAAAGTTTGTGAGTCTTGCTTCTTAGTGGTTTGGCCATTGTGCTGGAATTGTTGTTCATGTCTTTGCACCTCGTTTTGGTTCACAAATGTTGACAGTTTTTTCCTATCTGTATTTTCTTTTTTTTCTGTGTCTTTCTGGGGTTTGTGATGCCAGCTGCAAGAAGATATGCTGGAATCCTGTTCCCTGCACCTGCAGTGAACAGTCCCCAGGCGAGACACAGTGTATAGGGATAGTACTACTGAGCTCAACCTTTCTGTCCCAGATCCAAAGGTTTAGGTGACAGGCATCATCCATCCTCCGTGCAGACTTACTGATGCAGATAGTGCTGCTTAGCAGAAAGCAAATCTAATGCTTTGGTTACGTAGCCGTCTGATGCTAGTATTAGTACTGGCTTGCAAATGGGTTGAATCCTGTACAGCTCGTTGTGTGACCACAGTGCTGGCCCCAGAGAGGCAGGCAGAATGAGCAGAGGCAGGGTTGGACCTCCTCTTCTGATGACAACAGAGATCTTATGCTAGATTTAGGTAAAGTTGTTACCTAACTGGGATGGCAGCAGTAACTGCATAGGCTCAGGATTGTATGACAGTTTTTCCATTCTCTAGGAGGTGAAGGTGCTGTAGTGTCATGTGTAAAGATAGTAAACTTCCACCTGGCTTAGAGGGGGAAGGAATTGGTTTATTTATAGAATGTATATTACTGTTCTGATAAATCGTTACTTTACAGTCTGGGATCTTTCTTGGCAGCATCAAGCCCTCTGCTCTTTTGGTACAGTTGACAGCACATTGGATTGCCCTAAGTAGCCTCTCGAGTTCACGCTGAGTTTAAAATTTGGGCAGCAGATAGCAGAGATGTACTTGATTGAACTCAAAAGCGGTACCGCACCAGGAAACACATGTTTGGAATTGCACTTTTAATGCTGTTCTCTAATGCTGTGCCACAAGGTTTGAGATGAATGCTGCTAGAACTGGTGCAGGCCTAATAGCCAAACTGCGGCTACTGCTGGAATTTACAGTAGCCCTCAAATGAGCTTGTTCATACACTAGGTAAGAAATGTTCATTCCTCTTTCCCAGGGCTGCTGTTGGAGAGGCTCTTTCCTTTGCATTCAACCTGTGCGCATAGGATACTGAACGTTGGTCTGTTGCCAAAGACAAAAAGAGCCAAAGGGGAGAGCCCAGGTGAAATGTTCTGCTGCTCTGCAGGGGTCTGTTCCAATGCTTGGACGGTCAGCTGAGAGAGGATGTCTTATTTGACATGGGAATTGCATTGGGGTCCACACCCAGGGTAGGGCAACCCTACGCTGTGTGACAGGAGGGCACAACTGAAGTCCTTCCGTGTGCCCGAAGGGAGAGTGGTGACTGCAGCAGGGAGCGACAGGAAGGTGTCTGCAGTCTGGTACCTATATGCGTGTGCCAACAGGGAGAATATGCTGGTCATGTGGAGGGTGAGGGCTGCACCTCCTGAGGGGGATAGCAGCAGCCTTGCTACACCTCTGTGTTTGGGAGCCAGGGAAGGGACCGTGCCCTTTGGGAAGCAGCATCCGTCCTGTACTCCTGCTAGATCTGTGCATGTCCTCAGTGCTGAACTCAGTGAAGTCCTATCTGGAGGCATAAGAACCTGCAAGAGCTTGGGGTTTCCTATATCTAATATCATGCATGTGTTAAATTAGTAGTACTTTAGCTGTGTAGTTAGAAAATATCAAGTAGAGATGATACGTCCTTACCCATGCAGCCAATATGGCAGAGAATCAGGGCATGCATAGACGAGTTTAGGCTCAGGATGGGCTGCTGCAGAGTTCATCCTTTGCTTTGGCCAAAAGCATGAGAAATTCCTGCCCAGCCAGCATAGGGCAATCAGAGGCACTCTCCACTTTGTACTTAGTGTTTCCTTCTTTTGGATAGCTTTCGAGTCAGTGACTGTACAAGTAAACAGCTGTCCTGGAAGTTCAGCCATTCAAAAAAGGAGGCTTTTCTGCTGCGTGTGGTCACAGCACAAGGACAATTCAATTTCTCTGTTGCCTTGTTTATTTTTGTGTCCATACAAATGTGGAAAAGGCCCAGACAATTTAAAATGACTCATTTCTCTACCAAAAAAAAAAAAAAAAAGGCAGATTTTATTTAATGGGTAAAGATAAACATAGTATCTTGATGGTATCTTTGCAGAGATTCAGAAATTACTGATGACAGACTTTCTCATTGCTGGGATTTTTTATATTTGACTTTTATCTATGGCCTTCAATACGAAATATCACAAATTATGGAGTCTATTCACTGTTAAGTTCTGTATTTACAAGGGTTTAAAAGTACCCAGCAGACTTTTGGTTTTGTGCAGATACTCGACACTGGTATGATGTTCCAGTGGCCCAGTGATGTACCCTTAAGTATGTATGAAACTCAACACTGGACTATTTGACCTCTACAGTGCTCTCTCGGTATCTAGGACTAGTTGTGAAATGGCAGGATTATTCAGGACAGCAGCTTCTTGTTGTTGTTGAATTTGTAACTTGTGGGGAGCAAAGTTTGTAAATTTTAGAGATGAAGTACGACTGAAGAATAATTGGCAGTCTTATCTGCTTTAAAATTTCCTCTCTCTTGAGCTGCTGGATGAAGTCTGTCCAATAAAAATAATTTCCTCTTAACAATAACTGCCCACTTCCATTTGCTCATGAATAGAAGTTTTAAGTAAATGGGACTATACATAATGCTGCATTCATGAGCCGATGTCATAACCTCATGACTTACTGAGTGTATGAAGCCAGAGTCCAGGCAAGTAATGACTTTTCTGAAGCTGCCAAATCGAAGCCTTGGGGTTGGGGAATGAAGGATATCAACTTGAGTCAAACTGAAACAGCCTTTATTCAGCATTTTCAGTTAAATGAATAAACAGAATGGCTGTGGTCAATCCAAAACTGAACACAAAACATGTTTGTAGATTATATACATTTTTTCTTTTGGGATTAAGTTCCATTTTTAAAGAATGCTGTTTTGAAATGAAAAGTTTAAAAATATCCATCCATTATGTTTTGGCATGTGTGAAATTAACTGTTTGTGGTTGGGTGTGGGCTTTTTTGGTTGCGTTTTTTGGTTGTTTTTTTTTAAGTTCATACTTTAAAAAAACCCATCCATTAGGTTTAAGGATGTTCAGTGAATGCAGCTGCCCTTGGGCAGGTTTGGCTCTGAACCTGCAGCCTCGCAGTGTCATGCAGCGACCCCATTTCTAACATCTGAATTTGGCCATTTGAGTTTAATTTGTGTCTTCTTGTGGCAGTGCGAAAACTGGTTCATTACATGGAGTTGGCTACAGATAATCAACATACTTTTTGCAGCAGTGCCAGCCATCGTCTTTAAAAGCACTTAAGTCTATTAACTTGTTTACCATGGTTATTTATGACCTTCCAGCCATGTGCTGTCCATTACTTCCTTTTCTTTTTACATCAGCCGTCAGACGCGCTTCCCTCCCCTTTCTGTTTCTCATTCCGTTGCAAGCCACGAGGCGTCTCCCTTGTTTCCCACTGAGCTCATGCTCAGTCTGTGTTACACATGGCATACAGGGTGGCTAACCTACAACTTGAAGTAACTTTTAACACAGATTCGTTAAAGAATATGTTAGCACCACAACTGCTCAAGTACGTGGCATACTGAATGCCTAGCCAGGGCAGGAATCAAAGCTCCCTGCTATGCTGTGCTTCACAAGCGACCCTCACTGTTTCTCTCTGTACTGGTTTTCTTTTATTTGATTTTGAAAATGAGAATATGTTCAGTTTGTTGCTGTGTCAATATTAAGTATATATTTATTGTTTTTCAGACATACATACGTATATATAAATGCTATATATATATATAATGTCAACGCATGGACATATGTACAGTAGATATTTTAAAGAGCTATTTATCAAGAAAAGTAAGTGTTATAAGTAAACAGAGTTTATATTTTATATATTATGTAGATAGCAAAAAAAAAGTGGTTAAATTATAGTAGGACTTTTGGGGGCAGGGTTGGAAAAATGGGCAAGGACTGGTTCTAGCATTTTAAATAGCCAAACTACTTTGTACAGAAGCGGCCTGCTGTGCCTCTCGGCTGCAATATCTGTTTGTTTCTTCTTCTGGAAGATGATGTGCATTGTTACTTTTACATTGCTTGGGGAATGTAGTTAGTTTATTCTCAGCCAACTGATATGTGCTGCTTAAAACATGGTTTCCTGCTGTTCTGCATATTTGCATTGATGGAATAAAAGGATCTTAACTGGCAAATAAAGACGTAAAAGGATATTATCTCAACTGTCTATCATTTTTCCCCACACTTGCATTTTGGGGGGTGGGGTAATAACCATCACCTTTGCCTGGTTTCTGGCTTGCCTGTTAAGTTCAACACGTCAGAGTAAAATACACGGGCTTTGTGCTTGGGGGCGGGGATGGCGATGGCGGGAGAGAAAGAAGAAGGCTTAACACTAAGCTATTTGAAGGTTTAGTGTTATGACAAGGACTGAACTAACACCTGCTGGAGTGATGCATCCTGAGGAGACAGTTGGTTTTACTGCCAAAGGATGCGAGTATGTCCAGTGGCATAGCAAAATGGGGGTATTGGAAATCCCTGCTGAGCACAGCCTGGAGATCCTTTCTCCTGGATTTCCTTTTTCTCCTGGATCCTTTCTCTCATCCTTTCTCCAGCACAGCCTGGAGATCCTCCTTCTACCTCCCCAGCGGTGTCCTGGGATGCCTTTGCCTTCCCTGTCCTCAGCTCCCTCCAGTGACATCCCCCTGCCTACCTGGATCCTTGCTCTCATTCACCAGCAGCTGTCAAGTCTTTCCGCTTACCCCAGTGCTCCTTTTCTCCCCTGTACGTGGGTGTGTCATCAGCCTAGTAAGGAGCTTGTTACTCCAGCCCCTCTGATGCTGGAGGAGACCTCACTTGAGTATGAAGCAGAAGATAATATGAAGCAGTGGGAAGTTCTAGGCTCTGAGGAAATATTTATTGCCCCTGTGATTGATTTGTAAAAATGATAGAGCATTTCCTATGTTGCTTTTCTATTTTACAGCAGAGCACACAGAAGGATCTTGGAATCTACTCGTGTCAGTGCTCACTCATTTCCCAGGCACTACGAAAGTACAGCAAATCCGAGGCACAAATCTGTGAAGGGATGGGAAATCATCATCACTTAGAATGCATACTCCCCTCAGATCACATGATCTTGTGAAGTGGACACTGTATTTCTCATACATATAAAAGTTTACAGGATGGGTATAGCATTTACTTCATCCCAGAAATGCAGCATGTTAAGAATTTCTACTACTGCCATTGCAGCTATCACGTTTCAAAGATGTACCGATGTTTATTTAAACATACATTTTTGTCAGTGTTAATACACATTTTCTTAGGCTGAAGAGAAGAAAAGCACAAAGCAAGGAAGAATCGGTGCCCAGGTCTTCAGGAATTATATTTTAATGTTTGCCTTGCCCTCATGAGCAAATGTAGTATAACCTTGCTCAGGTTTCCAGATCACTGTCTCCAACTAATCAATTAGGCACTGAAATAAAACAGGGCCAAATTTTATGGTATATCCTTTCCTATCAACTTCATAGTAAAAAAAGGCCTACTTCTATTTCAAAGATTAAAACATAGAAGTCTTCATAAAACAGCACCTAGGGGAGCAATTACTGTGAAAGAGTGTCAGAGATACAGTGGGATTATTAGTACACAGTTACAGCACACAATATGTAACTGTATAGGTAAGTGCAAATGCAGGAGCCAGTATAAACATTCCACACTAATGAGGCTACATAAATGCTAAGGTAAACATTTTCAAATGTGGGTCAGCATAGTGAGACACTTAAGTGTAGATTTATCAACCCAAGTAAGAGTTCTGCTTTTAAAAGAAACTGCAAAAGTGCGGGTGAAGGGGAAAACCTCTTGCCATTTTCCATAATTTTTGAAGAACCAAGGCTTCCACAGCTCCCCTGGCTTGTTCTGCTGTTTTCTGGAGCCCCTATTGATTAGCAGCTATGTAGTAAAAACAATGGGTGGCTTGTAGCCATAAATATTAATCAGAATAATGTTAAATGCATTGCATTGTTCTCTTCGGGAATGAAGAGTTTGCTGGGGCAGGGGTTATTAAAAAGTGCTGCTGTGCCAAAGAGAAGACACACTTAATGCTTTTGTTACTGATTCCTGTCAGGCGGTGGAAAGCCATGGAGCTCTTTGTGTTGCTGCGGTGCCAGTGGAAAATTCACATTTCAGAGTGGACATGCCTGATGCACAGAACAACAGGGCTTTTTGCCCCATGTAATAGTCCAGAGCAGCTCAAATGAGGGTGAGACAGCATGGCTCTTCCTAGAGCAGCCTTTCCTGGGGCTGGAG